AGTCAAAAGGATTATTAGTAGATTGGTACCTTCATGCAGTTCTTTCCGCAACTTCTCTGCGTCTTCTTGCAGGACTGATTTTTGTGTGTTGAGGACAGCCACATACATCTCTAGGTCTGTCCTACATGACTTCTCAGCTTCCAAATAATGGTTCAGTTCTTTAACCTGAATGAAAAGAGGGAAATGACTATGTCAGTGGGTGAACTCTCTCAGGCATTTCCGTTTTGTTAGAAGTTAGTCTCGCCTGTTCGGGTAACATACAGGTGCTGAAGGACAAGTTTATTTCTCAAAATGACAAATATTCAGCTATCAGCGTGCAAGCAACACTTGTATTTATTTCTGAATTAATGACTTCTTAAAATTCTGCTAAGTCACATATATCAGTGTATCACAGTTATAACAGTTGGATCACAACAGCAGTAGCACTGAGCATGGAGATGGTAAAGAGCCAAACATCTAAGAGCAGCAGACAATGAAGCAATCCTTTAAGCAGCGCTGATAAGCCCACAACTAAGTAGGATGCGGAGATGGTTCAAAACAGAGTAATAACAGCAGTCAGAAAACATGACTGAGGCAAGCTTGAACTAAACCAGCGATGATGAGCCTAAGAAGAGACAGACAAGAAAAAAACCATTCAAATCCTTGAAAGTGCTGCCAAAAGAAAAGAAAATCTGTCAATGAAATGCAATTACACCAGGAAAAAATGAAGAAATATATTAGGATTTTTTGATTTTTTTTTTTTAATAGGAAAGCTAACAAAGCTCTGGAATGGATGTGCTGCAGAGATTGCAGAGTCTGGTGAGAACCTTGTAAGACAGGGTTACATAAACATCTGTCAAACACGATGCTTGTAGAAAAGGATCCCCATCTTGGAGAAAGGAATGGGTTGAAAGATTTCTTTATGGCACTATTCAGCTTTATGGTTTGCTGAGGCAGGAATCACAAGATTTTTTATTTTAAAGAAAACAAAAGCCTTCAGGCAATTCCCAGCTGGCTCCACAGAGCTGCTGTTCATCTTCCTCAGCACAGTACGGGAGCCACAGACACCAACTCAGAGTTCAAGACAGCCCTTTGGCTTTAACTTGACGGTGGAAACAGCTTCTCCTGCCCTAGGATACGGAGTCTTCTATCTGCTAGTGTTTTAGCCTTTGAAATGGAGAAGTGTGACTCCCACAGCACAGCCCTTGTGAAGGGCTGAAGCGGGGGTGGTGAGAGAACAGAAACCCATTGTTTCACTAATCCAGCTACATACTCAACATTGAAAAAACATGACATGGCTCAAGCAGATCTGAAGGACTTCATCATGACCAACAGAAAAGCCAAACATACCGCTCATTCTGCATGTCAGTCCTCATACCCATCTAGTAATATAAATAATGTAAATAATACTTTGCATTTTTATAGTGCCAGAGATTAAAGTACTTTAACAACTTCCTAAGTTTGTGCTTAAACATCTCCTTGCTAGACACAAAAGAGCAATTCTTTCCCTTAAGCTAAAAAGGTGACTTGAAATAGGACTATCAGCAACTTCATACAGAAGCAATAATGAAGTGGAATTGACCGCAGGTAAGAACTAAGGGCCTGTTATTTCTTTGGTAAGAATCACCATCTAAAGTAAGACTACTTTAAGAATAACCACTCAATAAACTAGAAACATGGATAAAGTGATTCTTCTCTTTTTTCAAGAGATGTGTGCTTATGTTTTAGTCATTCCATTGAATATTTTAGAGGACTAACAGAGACACCAACACAATTCCTGACCCTGAAACACTATGAATTTTACTCGGGCCTTGCCCATAAGGAAAGGCAGAAACAAGAATGACCTATAATTTTTATGACCAAATTTGAATTCAGCAGAAAGGGTCTAAGAAAAGTTCTAGACTACTCTTAAGAAAAAGAAGAAGAAGAAAAAAAAAACCACCAACAACCCTTTCTGAGAGCAAGCAAGCAAGAAGAGAAGGTTCACATTTCCTCATGTTCCCCAAATTCATCCTGGCAATGAAAAGGAAGTATTATTTGCATCAAGAGAAAAAGCAGAACTCCCAGAGAACCATTATTCCTACGAACATTTCAATCTCAAAAATTTGACCTACAAAGCCCAAAGAATCTATGAAGAAGGAAAACACTCAAGCATGGACTTTCAATCTAGTAAAATTTTTTAGACTGTTAAACGAATTACACTGTTCTCCCAAATCTCAGACAGACCTCCAAGTTGGAATAAAAGGGGGAGGGGAAGAGGAAGAATTCCAGCAAATGACAAGCACCTATTTAAATGAGAATGCAAGTGACCCAGGAGACAAGGAAGGTATTTATTTGTACATCTTAAAAACATCCACATGGTAAGTTACTTTGCAATTTCAGCCTATTTGACTTTCAAGATAAAATATTTGTTACAAAAGACACCTTCATTTCTGTATAAAATGGTACGTTAAACGCAACTATCTTACAGTGGTGTGGAAACTATTTACCCTTCAGAGCTGATGAG